ATCAGAGAATTTCATTAATCATGGTGACACTTTATTGTACAATCAATGGCTTGTTTTGTCCTATCAATTTTTTGCAATGATTACTATTATATTAATACTTAGTTATCATTATTAGTTTTAACTGGCCTAATAAGCAGTTGAGGTTTAACAGGGCATAAATTAATCCATGCATTTCTTCAGTACTCAACACATAACCACTGGAGCTCTGTGAACTATATTCGTTCTTTGACTTGAGGTACATTTTAAACAGCTTCTGAGAATTCACACTGAAAAACAGGTAAGGAAAGGAGGAAATAATTTCAATAAATGATAGATGTGCTTTACCTTCTATTGGTTTAATTAAACGAATAGATATTTGTGCTACAACACACACACACACACACACACACACACACACATACATGCAGACAAACTTCAGCTTCCTGGAAAAATGAAATGTCTTCAGTTTATGTTTAAGAACATGAAAAGAAGCAGCCCTTTTCCAATATTCTCTCAAATTATTTATCATTATTTATTACCTATGGAGGGATCATTGCAATGTTCTTTATAAGTAAGCACTAGCTTGCTTACATCATTTTCAATTACTACCTGTTTTTGTTTAATAAAATCATATCAAATTTTAAAAGAAATGATTGATTTCTTATTAATGTTCTTTTATCAGCAGTTATTTTGAATCAATGCCCATGAAGCCAGTTTTGACAAAGAAAAGAAAAGACAAAGAAAATATGTTGTCAAAAAGTAATTCTCAAAAACAGAGTCACCAGTTAAATCCTTCACTGGACAATTTATGCCACAGATCATACTGGATATTAATTGGATCCACTGCTGTGTCAGATCCTGGATAAATATAACACTATTAGTGATAATTAGAGATAAGTAAGAAAGGTGCACACTGATGAGAGTAGGATATCTGAATGCAGTTGGTTCATTCAACACATATTTAATGTGTGAAATATGCGCCAGGCACTGTAGAACATTAATGATGATCAAGTGTATACGTCTCTGGTACTGCAGGATAGGACTCAAGCATTTACAGGAGTTGAGTGGCAAAGAGCCAGCTGGAGGAGTAAAGAAGCCAAAGCCAAACCTTGAGGGACTTCTATGCCCGCTGAGGTGTTTATACTAACAGTAATGAGGCACCATGAAAGACTTTCAGAAAGGCAAATTTCTAAAAGATTACTCTAGTCAACGTGCGAAGAGAGGACTGAAGAGAAAGAAGACTGGACACAAAGACCAGCTGGATGAATATCATTTAGGGTAATTTCAGGAGAAATGAGAGGGTTATTTGGATCCATCACTAAGCCACAGAGTCTGGCATCCCACCTACTACAGAATCATAATGGCCTTCTACTCTAGATTTTCAATCTGTTCAGCATAGCCTCGCCATGGTTACCTCTATTCACTTCATCCTAGAATTCTCTTTGGCTGTCTCTAAGATGATACATAAAATCCCTGTCTTAACCATGTGTTTATTGCTGAACACTGAATAGATATGCGAGTACCAAGTATCTAGGGGTAGAGTCCAGGGGTAGAGAGTCACAAAATCCCAAGAGCTTACAACAGGGATGAGTATCTTACCATAAAGTGACAGCTGCCAGGAGAAGATCATTTATAGCACAATTTTTGAAATGGCTAACTTCCTGTGGTTCACCTAGTTTTTGAAAAAATCAGCTCCTGTGAGGTAAGCCTGATGAATCAGATTACCTGTCTTACACTGTGTTGGTTTAGCTACATGTAGATACCAAAATCTATCAAGTTACTTCATGTCAGATTGTTCTTTGTTATTTTAAATTACTCTTAGATCCCCCAAAGCCACAGCTATTCCCAAGAGAACCCTCATCTGGTAACAAATTACAGTGATTAAGGCAAGTGATAATGGTGACCTGAAGTAATGCAGTGAAAATGAGGAAGAAAATGATTTAAGGGGTAACAAAATAGGATGGCTACTTAAAGATGCATTAGATAAGGGAATAATTATGAGGCAATGGCTCATTCATATGTCGGTTTATTTATTGTACAAATATTTACTAAGGGCTGAAATGGGGTGCTCATACTGAACCAGAAGCTGTGCTGATGCTTGACATGGGGTGGTAAAAGGTCAGATATGGGGGTGCCTGGGTAGCTCAGCTGGTTACGCATATGACTTTGGCTCAGGTCATGATATCAGAGTTCATGAGTTCAGCCCCACGTGGGGCTCTGCGCTGAAGCATAGAGCCTGCTTCAGATTCTGTCTCCGTCTCCCTCTCTCTGCCCCTGCCCCCCTCACATTGTCTGTCTGTCTGTCTCTCTCTCAAAATAAATGAATAAACTTAAAGAATATTTAATGTTGCTGAGGGATAAAAAATGATGCACAGTTAACAAAGTAAATGTTTTGTGCCGTTAGGTAGATAGTGGTATCATTTGCTAAGAGGTGGAACGAACGAGGAGGAGCAGGTTTGGAATATGCTGAGTTGGGTCCACAGTGCAACTCGTGAAGACTTTCTCCCCAAGCCTGTTATTGGTAATGTCCCTAACCATTTGCATTAAGCTATGTATTCCTTTGGTGTAATTAAAAAGCGGACGGCTAGGTGTCATTTGTTTGCCTTTATAAGTTCAGAAGAAACATACAGAGGTGACCTTATCAGATGGAAGAGCCCAAATAAGAAGGGATCAGAAAGTTTTAGTTGGTTGACGGGAGGACAAGGAAGAAAAGTGAGCAAAAGAAACAAGAAAAAAAATTAACATGTACTGAGTATTTACTAGGTAACAAACACTGCTAAGTGCTTTCTGTTTTTAAGTAAATAACAGAGGGGTAAATATAAAATTTTTACAAAATAAATAATAACTAAGATTCAGTGAAATTATTCAGTTGGTCAACGACACAAATGTGGTAAGTGAGGAAACAGGCATTTGCATCAAGGTCTATCTGACTCCGAATCCTGAGCTTGTTTTGTTAGATGCTGCTTCCCAGTGTTACTTATCCTTGCAATGACAGAAGTCAGCCATGCGGGTAGAGAATTTGGAAGATTCCTGGGGACAGTACGTGGAGACCATTGGGACAGATGTACATGCTGCTGGCTGTCTTCATCCCCAGCCTCTCCCTTTGGCTCCTTCCCTGGGTATTATGCTCACCACTCCCCCCCCATACCACCTACTTCTCATCATTCTCTCCCTAAGTGTCACACACCTACCTGCTCTGGGCCCCATTTCTTCAGACCCTCTGAGTAGACCTGGGCTAGAGTCAGGACTCATTAGCAAACCTGCTGGGTGATGATAGCTAAATTATCTCATGTGAGCTTTCATTATCTCATCTCTAAAGTACAGGTAATTATTCCTGCCTCGTGCCACTTGAAAATTTATACATAAAATTATCCAATATTCTTATTGCCATACAGGAATTATGCAACACATGTTTCAGTGTGAAAATGTCAGAGAACATATGGTCCATGTTAATGATGAAGATAATAATAATAATAGTAATAATTTGGTCCATGTTAATATATGAAGATAAGACTAATCAGGTCTCTCCATCTCTTAGGTGACATTCATGTTTTTCATGTCACAAATCTCTAACTCGATAGAAAGAATCCATTTAAGGGCAAAGGCCATAATTTCTAATTTATGTGTGTTCTTATAATAGTTAATACTTCATTGTGAAAACAGTGTATTTTTATTTATATTGTAAAGATACCTCTGGGGAGTTCTTCTGGTCTAAAGTTATTGTATATATTCTGATCAGATGTGTGAAAGGAGGATTAAATTTTGGTAACCTGTAAGAAAATATAATTGATTGGTGATGCCCTAAAGCCTCTCTGAGACCAAGCAGCTGCTCTCAGGCTCATAAAGTAGCACTAAGAAGACATCTTAATGCCCTAGACTTTGGAGAAGTCTTGTGATACTCCTTGTGAAGGTAGTCACACACGCTGAAACTCAGTCTTAATTGCATTGAGTGTCTCTGGGCATTGATTTGGCAGCATGGGCTTCTCTTTTGGCTTCAAAGGGTGGCATTTAGATGGCTTTCCTTTTAGAACCAATACAAAAACCATTCTGATGGAGGTTATAAAAAATGTTTCAAATCCTCTTCAGAATTACAATAACTTTTGTTAGAATGAGGCACTGTATTTGGTTTTGGATTCTCCAGTAAGCTTGAAGAATCTTATAATTTTCCTTTCTGACTTGATAAATGACCTTCAAAAAAGCAGTTTGGCAAATTACCATGATGCTAGGCCATCATAGAGAGATTAGGTAGGAGCACTCACAACTGTGTATTTACCAAATCAGAAAACAATGCAAGTTGTCCTACATGTACCTTGACTAAATTTACTGAAAAACCATCCCTAGACAAATGCTAAATTGCTCTCTGGATATTTGAAGACTGTAAATAGCCTACCTAGAGTTTATGTGAGTGACTTGGACTGGCAATAAACAAAAGCTTCCCATAATTTCAATAAAGTGCAAATAGAATCGCAAGCAAAAGAAAGTAAATATCTGTTTAAGATGACCATATAATCAATATCTAGAAATTCAGTTATGACTGTTACTTAACACTTTACAACTGATTTAATTTTTAAAATTTGAGATGGCACAATTTTTAAATGTCAAATCACCGGTAAAGAGAAGTTTTCAACTAGAACTGCAGTAAATCATCTGTGTGCTGTGCAAAATGAAGAGCAAATAGTGTAATTGTGTCTGTGAGTGGGTTGAGAGGATGGCAATGTGAGATTGAGGAAGACAGAAATCTTGGTACTGTCTTCTACTGTACATAAGTCTTCCCCTTACCAGACAGAGATTTATCATTATACAGGGAGAACCTCTTTCAGAAAAATAAAAAATAAAATAAAAAATAAGCCATTTGAATTTATCTGGAAACTACATTTGCTACATAGAAGATGTTTAGTCTCATTTGTATATTTATTCATCACTTTTCACATGTAGTTTTGATTCTAATCTGACCATGAACTTTACAAACCGAACTTCTGTGCTGATTAAAAGTAACGACAGTGCATTTATGAAAGTCAGCAAATCCGTGATTCAAAAAGACACCTTACTAAAGGGTCAGGATTTTATATTAAGAAAGAATGTCTGAAAGCATGGAAGAAATGCTACTCTTTGGGTAAAGATATTCTATTGCTGTGAAAATCAGACATTAATAATTCATTTTTCATAGTATCTGCACTTCTGGCTCTTGGAAAGGCATAATAGTTTGAAAGGCCTACGGGGGTGAGAAGGAGCATTATGTGCCTATCTGAGGCACCCTTTAAAGTTAACTGACCCCTCTGTATCAGGGTGCAGGAAGCCACCCTTGAAACATGGAACAAAATTTTCTCCTATTTAAAATCATTCTGAATTAATGTTGTCTATAACCTCCAACTTTGGAAAAGCCTATATGGAATTAATAAAATAAATCAGAGAGAAGGGTTTGAAGAGTATACTTCGGGAGCTGTGTAAAAGAAAATGGTAAAGACTGTCAAGATGTTCCACCAGTTGGTTCCAATTATCAAACCTTCAAAAATATAAATTAATTATTATGATAGGCATGAGGGCCCAAAGATGAATTAGACCTAGTCTCTGGCCTGGAAAAGCTCACCATCTGGGAGAGGGGACGATCACTAAGAGTTCATCGTGGCTAGTAGTCTAAGGATGGAGATACATACAGGGTGTTATTTGAACAAACAAGGCAGGAAGTTATTCCGACTTGCCCAGGCCAGGAAAAGATGACATCTGAGCGGAGTCTAAAGGCAATGAGTAGGTATTCATCAGGAACTGTTAGTGTGTTCTGGAAAAAGGTTGGCATTGTAAAAGATGGTCCATGATTATGTAAGCAAAACCACTGAAAGAGAAAGCAGTGTGATGTACTGAGGAAGCTAAAGGTGTTTGGACTGCATAAAATATCAAGTAGGAGGTGAATAGAGATGAGACAGAAGATGTTAAGCAACAGACAGACGAAGGAAAGTTTTGTATGCCCTGTTAAGGAGCTTGGAGTCTATTCTTTAGGAATGGGAAACCCCTGAATATGAGCAGATGAGTGACATGCTTCCAGCAAAGTAGTGGAAAAAATAAGATACCATGTTTGTCAAAATATCCTATTAATATATCAACATACAGTTCATATTTCAGTAAGCCTCAGCTTCTTTTGTGGATAACATTTAAGTTACAGATTAATATTTATGGAATAAATGTTGCCTGTGCATATAAATCTGTGGGGCAAAAGAAATAAAACCATTAAGTAAACATCTAAGACAATATATAATTATGTGCATTATTTTTAAACATTCTATTAAGATAGTAAGTGTGAATTCCAAAAAAGGAGTGTTTCAAAAAAGGAGTTGAGACATTAGGGCAGCTGGAAAAATCTAACTTGGAAATTAAATTGAACTTAAGTTGCACAAACCTATAAATCTGTTTTGTTTCTCCACTTCTGTTAGAGAATGCAGTGTGATGCCCACCAAATATTGTCCTTGCCATACTATGTTTCTCCGGCCCCTTGCCATTAGGGAAGGCCATGTGATGAGTTGTGCCAAGGAGGACGAGGCAGTAGTGTTGCAGGCCACCTTTTGACTCAAGCAGTGAAAAGTTTTGGGGGAATTTCTAAGTCCTTTTTTGCCCTGTCGTGAAGTCTGACAATGTTTCAGGAGGTTGAGCCCCCAACAGTCTGGGTTTGTGAGTGACTGCATGGAGCAGAGCCCTTCACCCTGATCGCACCAGATAAACTTATGTGGACCATAAGTCAGAATAAACCTAGTCTGCCCAAATGCTTTCTCCATTCTTTCCCTCTCCTTCCCCTACTGTTTTGTGCCTTGCATAAAACCACCAGAGGGATCTAATGCTCTTCTTTTGTTCTGCACAACAATTTTTTTCCTTGTGGGCACCACTGCTTTCAGAAAATAGAAGACACAATATAAAAACAACAACAACAAAAGGCAAAGACAAAGATGCCACAATTGGACCAAACTTTAGAAAAATATTAGAGACAATAGATCAGGATTCTAGCTGTAGCTCTATCTGGGAAGGACTTGGGTGATTGTTTTATCTTACTTTAATTGGTTTTCCAATTTTTCTAAAATAAGCCTGCATTATTTTTATAATAAAAATAAGCCCTTTTAAAATTAAATTTTAAAAAATGATTTGGAAGATTGCCAGAAGTTGGTTCCCATGAACACCAAACATAAATGAAGTAGAAAAAAAAAAGTAGGTAAGAGTCACCTGACATTTTTAGACTCTAAATATATGTGTGGATTCAGTATATACAATTCTTTTCCCCTCTATTGTTTAAAAACATGATCTATTACAATATTGTAATATCAAGTTATAATTATTTTATAGTTTAAAATATTTAGCTTATTTCTTAGAACTAAGATTTACTTAGATACTGTGCTGCCTAAATTGTGTTTGAATGTACTGAGAAGTAAAACATTAGTCTTATTCATTTATTTGCTTCATTTTGCTTTTCTTCAATAAATTTTCCATATATGATACTCAAAAACATTCCAAGAAAATGTTATATTTAATTAGAAAGCCTTG